ATATATATATATATATATATATATATATATATATATATATATATATATATATATATATATATATATCTTTTTTCATATATTTCAATATTTTAAAGTTACCCAGATCTGCTCTAATATATTCTGGCTTAAAAAAATGCTAAGCTAAAGTCTAGACTAGCAGTCAGCGGTTCATCTCATTTCTATATCTTAGAAATAAACAACAGCACCAAGCTTATTAAAACACATATATTCACCGCTGGCAGCTTCACATAGTTTACACACATCAGTCACTGGATGACTCTCCATCAGACTTGGAAGTTTAGGGGATTTTCTTTTATTTTTATGTATCAGGTTACCACAATCCTTTACGGACGCCAAAATAACATTTCATTCTTTATACCTCTGCTTGTTTAGCACTCAATGTAGATTTTTCTTAACATCCCATTATGTTATAAATCAATAAAACAATGCATTAGAAACTTGCTTGTCTATTTATTTTCCATTTTCAGAAATTGCAGCTTGGAAACATGGATTTAAACTGCAACATTCAGAGGAATCAATCAGACATAATCATCATTCTGGTGGCCTTTGCTGAATAAGGTTTCCCTTTCCAGGTGAGCCAGTGAAGGCCTGAGCTCCAGCCGACGGAGTCCGCAGAAGAGCGCCACTCCCCATTAAGGGCTGCAGAGCCGCAGCCACTGTACCACCAGCCACTGCCGTGCTTGCTGGTGCACTTATTAAAAGCAATGTCACCATAAATGCATGGGTAGCAGTTGTCATTGTCACGGTCGTAGGTGCTGAAGCCTGAGCCGTTTTGGTCATGCAGAGCGTCGCCTTTGCAAAGAGACAAAAACTGTCAGTTGCTAAGAAATGTAAAGTGAGAAATAGTTTATGAAAACCCAAATTAATGGCGTAACTTTTGCAAAAGAAAGTAGCCTTTTGTTAACCGTAAGTTAGGACAATATGGAAGGTTACCTGCATTTCCGCTGTATGTCCCAACATGCAGTTGATAAGCTGTTCTCTCATCTCCTAGTTTAAAGTCACGGTACTCTGCAAAAGCAAATCCACCCTCGTGGTCCCACAATTCCACTCTCAAAGTCCACCTTTTTGTCATGTCCTTAGTCAGAAGATGGATGTTCTCTAGCCCGAGCCAGTGGTCGACTGTGGGATCAGAGGAACATGCAAACATCAAAATTTCTCCCTAATGTCTTTAACAATAAGCTATTAGCAGGAGTACCCACTCAGTTGACATTTAAATCAGTCAGATACAAATGGATGGAACTTCCTTTCACAAAAATACTTCAAGCAAAATGTTATGAAAAAAAAAATCACTTACATTTCAAAGATCCAAACCCAAATCTATATTTAGCCCATCCTTTATTGAAAGACACCGCTCTCCCGCTTCGTCTTTGGATAACTATCCAGCCATCAGCCGGACGCATCTCACAATAAACCTGAAAAGGAGGTTCAGAAATAGAGACTGGAAAAGACTGCTTTGTTTTTGTTTTTTTGTTCTAAAGGTAGAAACAAATTTTTTTAGTGTTTAAAATACAAAATAAACATTTTGGCAGTATGGTTTGCAAAAGCATTTATCACATTACAACCAAATCACTAAGTCTGATTAAATTGAGTGTTCTGTAACAGACTGAGTAAAAATAATGGAAAATGGATGAACGGTGCATGGGTTTGCAAAGAACCCTTTTATCCTAAAACATTGAGGGGCAACTGAAAGACCTACATTGCAACACATGGGTGTCACTGCAAAAGGGGCAAGCTTGGGAGGTAAAACATTAGTCTCTAGAAAAGTCTCCCAAGAGGAAAAGGATTTTTTGAAGGAAAGTTACAAAGAGCCTCATCTTTGGTCAATTTAAAGTCTAATAAAAAAACCCTGTAGCTGGAAAAGACCACTGACCACTACGAGTTTTGCATTCATGCACAAAACCTTAAAACAAAGAGAAACCCTTCAGCAGAAAAAAAAACATTTTTTAAATCCTTCCATCTGTTTTCTCTCATCTCAGATTTGTTCTGCACCCTGTGTTTTCTCAAAGGATTCCAGTAAAATACATTAATGAATGCGGTTTTAACATTTTTATGGGTTAAGTGTTATTTTGCAAGCTACTACATACAGAAACCTATTATCATTATCCTACATGATAAACAGAACTAATTTGAGGAGAACCTTGAATAACCAAACTCCCAGAAGGTGGATTTTGTATTTTGATAGCAAATATAAGAAAATAATCATATATCTTTGGTATTTTATAGAAAGGAAATTTTGTTTAAGCTTTGAAAATAGCTGAAATTTTTCTCTAGATTAAGTTATACATTACTTTTTTGCCGGCAATTGGATTGAGAATTATTTTTAATAGATTCATGGTTTTGTTTAAGAATAGCAAATCAGGCGTTTGGTACCTTGATCCTAGCATTGGTTCCTGCAGGCTGAATTTCATAAACTCCACAAGGTGAATATGGCTTCTGGATCCTAATCTGTGTGCAGTCTTTCCCACCCAAGAGTTGCAGCAAAAAGTAAAACAAAAAAATTATTATATTAAGTAAAATCTTTAAACTTTATATTGATAAGAATAAACAGATGCAAATTACCTTCAGGAAAACGCCATTTCAGCTTTTTTAGGAGTTTAAACAAAAACAGTTTATGTTAAATATGGTCTTTAAGAATTAATAGTGTTAACAGCAAAGTATGATAAAAAAAAAGTGGCTAAATATTTACCTGTGTTTGGACTGAACCGCTCAACTGAAGACTCAGTATGAATCCACTACAGAGAAGCAGACTTCTCATTATGTCCTAAATAAATTAAATTTGAATTTAAAAAGAAGCAATAACACATAGACATATCAATGGTTAACATTCTCTGTCTTCGAATACGAACCTGTTTCCTGGGAAACTTTTAAAACCAAGCTCAGAAGAGCAGAGGCGCTTTTAAAAAAAATCCTAGCTAAACTGTACTCCACTTCCCACTTATTTATGTCACAGTTTGCCGTCAGGGACGATAAGAGCAGCTTGATAACAACCCAGTAGCAGGAAAGCAACATTCTAGGACAAAGCCACACAACCCAAACAATGGCGTGTTGTAGAAGGCCGATATACTTTATCATGGCACAAAGGTATCAAGATCACTCAGTTCATTTTATGCCGAAAATATACTTAAAGGAACAATTGTCAAAACTCTCTGTGATTCAAGACATTGATCAGGTTTTTAAGAAACAACATTTGGATGCTTTTCTATAATATCTCTCTCTTGTTTTGGTTGTCTAAACCAAATCCATGTATGGGTGTCAAAATATCCTCAGAAAAAACATGTGAAAATCTATTTTCCTTTCAATTAAAGCCTGTTTTTAAAGAAACTGGTTTAAAGCTTGGTTGAAAAGCAATGCTTTTATTTATTTATCTAAAAAAAGATAAATTTTACTAGTATTTTCAGATGCATAGTGACCGAAGTGGGGATGTTTTTCATTAAATGAGGGGTAGCAGCCATGTTGTCCATGTGTATGTAAGCCTCCTGCCAGTTTGTTCAATATGTTAAAGGGGTTAGTTAAGTTATATGTGGATACAAAAAAGACACAATTAATCTATCATTATAAAACATGGTTATGTGTCCCAATCCAACACTGGTATTGGATACCGGTCCGATATAAGCCTGATACTAATATCAGGTTATGCTGACCTGGACTTAAAATCACCGATATTTGCATGCTTATATAAACATTAAAGCTTCTATAAACCATTTCTTGATAATAAATGTTGTTCTGATACCTGTTGTTGTCGACTATTGTTCTTTGTTTCAGTAAAATCACTTGATCAAACCTTTTATAGTAACATTAAACACTTACAAAAGCGTTAAAAATCTATGTATGATTAATGCCTATATCTTATAGGGACAATATCTGTAATGGTTGCTCTCAAAGGTGCAATATTGGTGTAGCATTGTAAATTAAAAAGTTGTAATATGATGTCCCCAATTTGAGTCTTCTCCATCTTGGAATCAAATTTCATTTAATTTTATCTTGCATTTTGTTTCATTATTTCCATACCTCCATGGTAGGTTCCACCTGGCTAGAATGTAGTAAGCTATTTCCTTGTTTACTCTTTGTATGCATAAGAAATTATATACCAGCAGGACACGGTAATCTTGTATGCAACCACAGTGATCTTCTGACATAGACATTTTTTTAATCACGTGACTATGCACCTTTAAGAGTTTTCTGCAAGAAACTCGAAGGTGATAAGGCTTTTATTAAACTATATACCGGTATATGAAAATTATTTAAAAATAAATAAATAAATAAAACTGATAATTACTCACTAACAAGATTAGAGAGTAAGATAAAGAAATGTGGCATGGTTTACAAGTGACAATTTTTATATGCTTTAGTTGCGTCAACATGAAATTGGTGTTATGAAAACTAGAAAGGTATGGTCTAGTTTTAAATCTAGCCAATACTTCTATTTTGTCAAGACTTAAAAGTTAAAACAAACTTTTTAAGAACCATCAGTAAATCCAGTTGCACCCACATTTTGATAATCAGTTTTACGGCTAAAAATCTTGACATTATCCAAGCACTAGATGGCCCTCGTGCTCACTGGTTTAACATCTTAATAACTGTCAGGCAGGTCCTGAAAGGCAAAGTGCGTCATCTGTATGGGAAAACTACTTAGAGGCTGTGGACTGAATATTGAACTACCAGTTAAATAGTAAAGATATCTGGCAATAGTTAGAATTTTTCTTCGTTGAATTTTAATTTCCTTTATTTTGTCATATTTTCAGATTTTGACGACCTTAATTTGAAAATATTCATTCAATAAGCTTTAATGGATAAAAATATTCCCCACCCTTCACCCATGCCTGCCAGTCTGCTGCTCCAAAATGCTAAAGCTACGTTCACACCAAATGCAATTTGAGCAGCTAAAGCAGACAATTTAAATGCAAATTATATGGTTGGTATATATCAAGGCGTATCAACAGGTCCTGCAGCGCGTCTCGAGGATCAGGAGCAGGGCATCTTGATGCACCTGAGCAGCAATAACAGGGTAAAACTCTACTAGGTTTACATAAAAGGTAAGGAGAATATTTTTGTTTCACATACAAAGAAACGTGATCCTATGATCACTTCACTGAAACAGCTTATTAATGCCTAAATTAACTAAAAATGTCAAGCTATGCCAACAAAGTATGCTCGCTTTTATTTTTCCTAGTGTTTGCAGTTTGTAACGCATACCAGAAAAATGCTAACATCATTTTCCAGCAGCCACTAACAGTAGGGGAAAAACCCAAAGAGGCTGGCCAGCGTGATGCAGCTGCTGCTGGTGATTTCCAGTAATAGCTAGCCACTGGGCACCAAAGGGCCCCCCCGGGACCAATTGCGCTGCCCTCAGCATCTTCTGAAAACAGTAGGCTGAGTTTGAAATTTTATATTATTCTGTTCTGTTCATCTGTTGCTCTTTCATTTTTTAAACATTTATGGAGCATTTCATAATAGTAATCATATAAGTCATTTAAGCATTATAGAGATTTCAAAATGGCAACATCTTAAAGAAATTACAAATTAGAACAACTAATAAAAATGTGTTTATTATGTATGTAGTTTAAATGAACGCTGACCCCTCTGGTTCGTTGGTCAGTACTGGTAGCCGTTCCAATGACTCAGTACCCATGAAGTAGCCCTCAGCCTTAAAAAGGTTGGTGACCCCTGCCCTAGATAGTGCTCTATATAGTGGTTACATCATTTTATGAGAATGTCCAGTGCATGGAAAAGTAGTGGACTCAAAATCCCCCACAGTGCACCTTGAAAAGTAGTAATCATCCCAGAATGCTTTGCAAGAGCGCTCCTCGCAAATCATCATGGGTGTTGTTATGGCGGCATGAGAAAACAAAGATGACCGAGTGAAAGTAGTGATCATCTGCTCGAACGGTCAGTTAACTGAGTTCACTATAAAGTCCACTATATAGTTCCTGCTCTATATAGCTATTGAGGGGTTAGGGTGAATGTTCAGACACAGCCCCTGGTCCACAGAGGATACTCAAACTCAAAAACTATGGGTCATTTTGAATACCTCAAATCCGGAAATGGACATCTAATATATGGAGGAAATGCCTCTGTGGTCGCCACAATAAATCCTATCTGCTGGCAGTTAGAGCTTAGACACAAAACATTGATTATTTGTGCTAGTAACTGGCTGAACTATATGGAAGCAAATCGTTGCCATATTTCAAATGAAAAAGCATTTCCAGAAATGCTTTTTCATTTGAAGAATCTGGCTGCATTGTTTGACTCATAAATAAAATTAGTATTTGAGATTTATTTTTCAAATGTACCCCAGCAAATACATACCAAAATTCAATTTAAAATGTAAAATTCGAAAATGAAAAAGCATTTCCAGAAATACTTTTTCAGTTTAAGAATGTGGCCGCATTATTTGACTCATAAATGACTAATACTAATTTTATTCATTCCTCAATGTTAAATGTGTCATTGCACTAAAGACTGAACTGTGAATAGCACTTGATAAGCAATGCTTTATGCAGATCACAGTGTCATAGTTCTGTCAGTATAAAAAAATGAACTTTTATATGACTTGTTGCTATATGAATTTTTGTACCATATTTCGTGGAAGGAACTGTCCTATAATTAATGTTCATCTACTGTTCATCCTTCTACAGAAGTAGATTTTCAAATAAATTGCATAAAATATCAGTGGTTTCTAAAAGAAAAAAGCCAAAATATCGTAACTTTCCTATGACTGAATAACCTAGATAGTTTGATTAAATATATAAATATATCTTTGGTTAGGATGTGGTTTAGATTTGGTTAGACTGATTTATTCAATAATTTAGGTGAAAAACCGGTTTTACAATGAAAAAGGCTGGTGTATTTTGTAGATATATGGTTTTTCGATTAAAATGCAATTAATTCCGATTGATTAATCACAGATCATGTAATTAATCAAATATTTAATTGTGTCCCACCAGTGCTAATTGAAAGATTTCACTCTGTGTGATAAACCTATATGAGTTAAAATTCATTTTTTACTTCATTACTTCATTCATGACAGGAGAGCTTTTTCAGAACATTTTAATTGTGATCTTGAAAGCTAACTCCCTAAATGTTTTGGTGTTTTTTTTTATTGGTATTGTGTATTTTTTCTGTTTTATTCTTTCCATTGCTTGTGTTCATTTGGATCATTTCCATTTAATACATAATTTTTTATCAACATATGCCACAACACATCAAAAACAACTCCTCAAACTATTTATTTTAGCCATTTTGCTTTGTTTGCTTTGTTTCTATGATATGTTTGTTTTTAAAACAAATACAAATTATAGTATTGCCCAAACTAAGCAGAGATGTAAAATCTAACCCGCAGGAATCAATCAGACTTGATCATCATTCTGGAGGCCTTTGCGGAATAAGGTTTCCCTTTCCAGGTGAGCCAGTGAATGCCTGAGCTCCAGCCGATGGGGTCGTCAGAAGAGTGCCAATCCCCATTGAGGGCTGCAGAGCCACAGCCACTGTACCACCAGCCACTGCCATGGCTCTCTGTGCACTCGTCAAAAGCAATGTCACCATAGATGCATGGGCGGCAGTTGTCATTGTCACGGTCGTAGGTGCTGAAGCCTGAACCGTTTTGGTCACGCAGGGCATCACCTTTGCAAAGAGACAAAAACTGTTAATCAAGTATCAAATAATAAGGCGCAAATCTTTATGTACGTTTTTATATATACAGTTCTATATTTAAAGATATAAAATGTCTTTTGCAAAAGTTTTTATTACTGGACATGTGCTGTAAGCCTAATATAAGACTATCCTGATCGGCTGATAGAGAGTTTACTAGGAGGCTTCCCTAACAACAAAGAATGAGGCCCTGGTTAAAGAGGAGGAGGGTAAAACCTGCAAGCTGCCCTAACAGTCAATTATAGTGTTGGTTATTTTTTATGGATACTGTCTTGATTACCTTTGATAAAATTTAAGTTTAATAGAGGGTAAGCTGTAGCCTTTCTAATTTCTAAGGAATTACTCACCATAAGATATATTTCTGCAACAGATGTTAAGCTAAATATTCTCTAGTTTTAAAATCAACAACATGCACAGTGTTGTTTAAAAAAAGGATTGACTTTACCTGCATCTCCACTGTATTTGCCAACACGCAGCTGATAAGCTGTTCTCTCATCTCCAAGTTTAAAGTTACGGTACTCTGCAAAAGCATGTTGATCGTTATGGTCCAGCAGGTCCACCCTCAAAGTCCACTTTTTAGATGGATCCTTGGTAAGAAGATGGACGCTTTCCAGACCGAGCCAATGATCCTCTGAGGGATCAGAGAAGCACATGAGGAAAAACATGAAGATCTCTTTTTGGATAAACAGACAGGATACCAGATGGAACTGCTTGATTTCCTTTTAACTGAACTCCACAACTCAGAATTCATTTGATTTGTTGCTTTTTTGATTTTATCTTTTAGGGATTACATGATCATTAAAAACTTCATACAGAACAACATAATGAGTCAGTTTATTTACCATCTAGGTTTCCAAATCCTGTTTTATAATCAGCCCATCCTCTCTCAAAATTCTCCTTCCCTCCAGTTCGTCTCTGGATCACGATCCAGCCTTCATCTCCGTGGATTTCACAGTACACCTGAGCAGGTCGTCCAAGAAACAAAGCAAAACAGCATTTTTTAGCTACAGGTGTAAGTTGCAATTTGGGGCAAAATTTGCTGCTTGGCCAAGGTCTGCACTTTCAGAGTGCTTTTCTAGATTCACATATGAATATTTCATTTGCAAAAACAGATAAAAGCCATTTTTTTTTAAAAAGAGCTTAGGCATGTGATTTACTCTGTATGGCGCTGCTAGTAAAAAGTATATATATCTATATATATATCTTTTTATTTTTTTTTATAAAAACTGAGTTATCTGTTTTTGCAAATGAACCCTTAATATTTTAATCATGATGTTGCCCTGTGCCAGGGGCGGAGCTAGATGGGGGGCCCCTTAGCCAATCATTGTCCACCCCTGTGGCCACCCCTACCACCTTTTCCCTCTAATACAGATGTTGGCAGCAATAATACTCTCAAGTGGAATATTCAAAACATTTTAACTTTTCATAAATTAACAATACTTCACACAAAAACACTGTGGTTAATTATGCACACCAATGTACTAATATTAAAGATGATAAGTTCAGAATTCATGCTCTTTTCAGAACTAGATTTTGTGTTATATGTGGTAAAGAGAAAATGATGTGTCTCTGCAAGTCATCTATGAGTCCCCAGTCCCCAGAACCTCAACCTGAAAGAATTATTTCCACTATACCTTTCATCTAGAAAGCACGGATTTTGAAATATATGCGTCTATTTGTTAGGAAAGGCTGCAGGAAAGTATAGTTAGTCTTTATTTAGTGAATATGGACGTTGTGCTCATTCATTTTCCTGTTGGAACGGTGTAGATTTTCCCTGAGGTTCTGGCGCCACCCCTCAGGGTACATTGGTTATTGCCTGCCCACCCTTATAAAAAAATTTCTGGCTATGCCGCTGCTCTGTGCAGGTTGCAAGCTAAGCTTAAAGCAATGTTAGATGGATTAAAAGAGAGCTGTCACCAGCTATGTTCATACCGTAAGGCTGGTTTGGGTCCCCTTAGGATGGATTTTAAGCACTCCACTGGTCACACCTGGGAATTGAGCCTTTATCTCTGTGCAGTCTTTTTCCCCAAATATTTACAGAGGAAGGAAAGATAAAAAGAAACTCAATCTTAACCTGAATCTTTACATTTATTTAATATATATATAAATTTTAATGCATAAACTAAACAATATTTATAACAAAGGAAATAAAGCTGCTTGCCTTCTGGAAAAGCTGTTTTCTGTGTGCACAAAAAGTAGATCTTACGTTACACTTCAAATTGTTCAAGTCTGAAGTATTTTAAGAAGAAAATCAAATCTTTACCCAAGCCTGAATGGAGCTGCTCAACAGAAGCACCACTGTGAGTCCAAAGAAGCCAAGAAAACTCTTCATTTTTTACCTGAATATAAGAGAAGGACACTTGTTATCAAAAGGAAGCGAAAAACAACAGATTTAATTCTTAATATTAAATCATATACATCATATTCATACCGTTTTGTTGGCTGAAGCTTGAATCTCTAAACCCTGAACAAAAGCAGTAGCCTTTAAACCCTGCAACCCTCCTCCTTTTTTATGATAACTCATGTTTTTGTTTTTTTCCTAGAAGTCATTTGTGATTAGCAATGACCTTCAGCCACCTCATGTCAGATTATGCTCAAAAGTGTGATAAATATGTTTTTATTACAGCTGCATTTAGGTTAAAGTATTTCTCATGTTTCCAAGACAGATAATGTTATAGAATATGGAAATATAACAGATGTCAACAAAAGAAAATCAGTTATATTTAGTCTGTTATTTCCTATTTCCACTCATTTAGTGCCATACATTATGTGCAATTGAACTAAAATAGCCAAATAAAATTATTTCTAATTAAAAAGCTCATCATTTTGGTATCTTAGCTGCTATCTCTTTATTTAATGTGAAGATACAGAAATATTAGAAAAGATTTTTCAGTTGAAACAGAAAAAGATTTGAGAACAGATTTCTAAAGCTCCTTCTGAATTTTTGGCTACTTCTCTGATCATACCACACCTCTCCATCCTTACTTTACATTTAAAAAGAGCGGTTTCCATTTTAATTTTTCAGGTGACAGCTCAAAATATTTTGGGGTTTTTCCTGTTTTATTCGTTGTTAGATTTTGTTTGTCGTTTGGTTTTATAATCCTGCTCCCTAACCTTTTTTTTACATTTTTCTCCTTAACCTTTCTGTGCTCCTTTGGTTTTATGCTGCACTTTGTTTATTAATATTATCCTACAAACACTTAAGACCATCTTAATACTGCTCTCTGATGCATCAAACATTTGATTAAAATAATCTCTCCCTGAGCTTTTTAACACATTTCTGCTATCTGACTGGTGGCCAAAAGCAGCTTGAATCCACTAAAACAAAGACTCACCTCTGAATGCAGCTCTGGATGATATATCAGGAAACATTTTAGTTCTGACTTCTTGGCCTTTTTGAACTTTGAAAAACATTGAAAAAACATTGATAAGAAAGATCTTCTCTTTTATTTTGCTCGACCGTTTAGTTTGTTTGTTTTTTGACATACAGTATGCACTAAAGCTCCAGCATCATATATATATATATATATATATATATATATATATATATAGTTGTAAAGTGACAAAAACTGCAATGCAATCTTAAGTGCTTTAATGTTTAGGGTGACCCAGTCATCTGTTAGGTTTGGCCTCGGACTGTTTAATCTGTTAAGATATCACTTGACTCATTCCCGGTGGGAAGAATGAATGACTTTAGATGATTAAACACAGGATAACAATGACCTTTATAAAATACGGTTAGACAGCGTCGTACAGTACGAAATATCTTGTTTTTATGATATAAGATAAGATTTTTTTATTTTTTTTGCTTCCTTTGTTACACTTTCATGTTTTAAATCTCTTTGCATTTCAATATTACCAATGTAGCCTAAATAGATAAGAAAGACAGTTTTCAACTTAGGGTTTTGACTATTGTCAGCTGTTCAGTCAAAAAAAATGGAAAATATAACAGCTGCTTTAGAGCAGTATTCCAGGCTTTTTTGTTCCATTGCTCTTTGCAGCCTTAATCTGTCATGAACAGCCTCTTTAAGGCCATACCTCTAAATTTATATTAATTGTTTCAAAAAGCGTATTTTTGTATTTACTATTTAGATATCGTTATTCTGGCCCTGAAACAGTGAAGCATCTATGAGCATTACCCGATCTCCACTAAGTTTGATATTTGGTGCATTTGGTACATTATTTGCTTGAAATGTTGTTACCTAATGATACCTTCTTTTGTGCAGCAGTTGATTAAATAATTTCTCTATGCAAGTTTCTCCTTAAGAATATTAAAGTATTTTTCCTGTTTTCTCTATTAAAATAGCGGAATAACCAAAACTTTAAACCAGATAGGTGTCAATCACTTGGCTTTTTATTTCTTCTTTTATTTTTTGAGTTTTAAGTAATTACATTATATACGTATTTTATTCAGACAGGTCCTATATATACGATTTATTGATTCTATTATATTATATTATTTGTTAAAGTGTTTTCATCACAGTAGCTTTTCAGGTTGAACATTCACCCCAGAATGATAGGTGTTCATTTCTACAGCTCAAATAAGAAGCAACACATAGATCCCAGCCTTTATTTTGATTTCATGACTTGAAAAATTTGGATGGATGTGTTGCCAAAGTGCAACTGACAAGAGGGATTACTCGGTTTTGAACATCATCCGGGTAGCCTTCAATGAATAAGGGGCGGGTCCTTTCCAGGTGAGCCAGTGCAGACCTGAGGCCCAACCAATGTGATCTCCAAAGGGATGCCAGTCACCGTTCAGACTGGCAGAGCCACAGCTGCTGTACCACCAGCCGCCACCCTCTGAAAAGGCACACTCTAGTTCAGCGATGTCACCGAAGATGCACGGGGAACAGCCGTCATTGTCCCGGTCGATGGTGCTGAAGCCAAAGCCATTTTGGTCGATGCCTGCATAGGCCCCACGGATGGCATCACCTTTAAAGAGAGAAGAACTATTGAGGACTTTAGCTTAAACAAAAAAACTTTCCTGTCTTTGTCAGAAATAATAAAATACACATCTATGCTGCATTTCAGAAAGAATAATGTCTTGAATAATCTTTGATATGGCTTTAAACTTTGTTTAAAATTATTTCTTGTTTTATAATTTACTAAATAAAATAAAGCATAATTAAAGTTACCTGCAGTTCCGCTGTATCTCCCAACCTGAAGTCTATAAGCCGTTGCTTCACTTCCAATTTTAAAGTTGTTGTACTCAGCATAAGCAGCGCCACCTTCATGGTCCCACAGATCCACCCTCAGAGTCCACTTTTTGTATTTTTCCTTGGTCAGAAGATGGACCTTCTCCAAACCGAGCCAGTGGTCATCTAAGGAATCAGCCCAGCAAGAGATTATAATCTCAAATCCAAACTCCATCAGTAACCAAACTTTATCTTAAACATGTGGAACATATACCTACCATCCATAGATCCAAAGCCGTATTTGTAATCTCTCCATCCCCTGTGAAAGGACAATACTCCTTCAGTTCGTCTCTGAAGCACCACCCAGCCACCGTCTGAACGCAGCTCGCAGTACACCTGAACAAGAAGTCAGGGGAACGTGGAGAATTTATGGCACCTGAGATCTTCTCCCTGACGGACGCCTCAACCGCCATGATATGTCAGATTTAGTACCTTAAAGCGAGTGCTGCCCCCAGCTGGCTGGATTACATAAACTCCACTGGATGCTAGAGGTGACTGCTTCTGAATCTCTGTACAGTCTTTTCAAAGGGTGGGGGTGGAAATGAAATTAAAGACACATTCATTTGACTTTCTACTAAAAACACAGCAAAACAAAACATTACTTACCTTCTGGTAAAGTTCTTTTCTGTTAAAAGAGCACAAAAGGAATGACTCAGCATTGCATTTCATCTTCTATAATTACAGAATCTAAGAACTGGAGTAGAGCAGATCTAATAAATGTAATTTTGCTTACTAAGAACCATCTTTTGGCATTTCCACTACAAAAACATGTAAAAAAAAATGCTTGATTAGTCTTTATATCTATTCTAAACAACCAAAAAGGGAGGAAAAAAGCAAAATATAACTTTAATAAGTTGATAGGCTTGATAAGCTTGCTCAAGATATGCATTTTGAGTCATAAAACCTTCAACTCAGTTGAATCTGATTTTTTGAACTAAGAGCTTTTGTTTGTGCACATATATATCTATATATAGATATATATGCAGTAGTCGACTTGTTAAAAAAAAAAAGAGAAGGGGAATTGTGTCCCTGGAATGACATGTCTATCATTGCCCCTGCATTTGTCCCTATAGTTAGGGACAAATGCAGAGGACAAATTTCCCACTGGGATCACTTTCATTGTCATGTTACGCCACATCTTTGATTTAATTGATTTTGTTCAGGCTATTGGTAAGCCTGCACCCTGCCAAAGGGCAATATTATTGCAATTAATGTTAATATAGTCGAAGTTTTACACATTTAGTAATCAAATGTCACAGGGGATGGTCAGGGAGGTCCATAACAGCACTGCTAGAGCTGCAGGAAATGTCTTTTAAGGACTGAGAGTTTGTTGCATGTTGTCATTATTTCTTTAATTTTTTTTACCTGAACAAAGCAGTAAGGCGCATGAAAGCATTATTCTCCTGCTATGGAAAACATCTAAACTGGAAGAGAATCATCAAAATGCCTCAGAGAGAATATATTTGGCTCTAATAAAAACAAACTTGAACTTTTAAGCCAGGATTCTATTATCAGCCACACCATAGCTAAAATTAAAATTAAGTGGCCATATAATATTCTAGGAAGATTTCATTTCAAAACCAGGATTGTAGTCAGGTAAGAGAAAGAAAAATATCTCTATTCAGACTCCAAAGATCTGGAGTGACCTCGCCAAGAATCCAGATCTTAGCTTCTCAGAATGCCTGTTGGATCATCTAAACTGAGCCTTCTGCACATTAGAGCAGGGAAATGTTACCCATATGATTAACATGCAGACAGGTTTCTACCCAAAATGCCGAAACTAACTCAAATAGTTCTTTGCTTGTTCTTACTTTAAGGCTTTGCATATGGAGTCATTTACCTTGGTTTCTTTCTCTTTTTTTTCACAACAGTAACAAACAAACAAAAAAAAAAAATCAGGCAAATTTGTTTGTTACCTTCGGTATCACTATAATATCGAATTACTTTTTCTTACCATAGCGTGGCCTGAGAAGCACAACGGAAAGACCAGTATGACCACAAGGTGGTTGAGTAAAGCCTTCATTTTGACCTAAAAAAAAAAAGTTAGCTCCAAACGCAGGCAAATAAGTTAAACAATTCTTGTGTTCCCAATTGCTTATAAGCTTAAAACTCTAATGGTATTTAATTCAAAAGATAAGAAAACACAGGTTTAAAACCTATATACTTACAAGTACAAATGTGAGCACTAATGAGCATACATACCGTGTGATGAATAAACTTCTGCACAGAAGGAGCCCCTCTTAAATGCTGGAAGCGCCACTCCCCTCTCACTTTTGAGCTTAAATCTGTCTTTCCTGTTTGGTCAGACTGAGTGAGAGTAATGTCTGAACAATAGGATAGCAGATTGTCATCTGGAATGACCTATTGGTACTGATACCAGGAGGACACCTAAGTATTTGTTTTTTTTATTTGAAGCACAAAGAAAAAATCATAAAACAACTTTTCCATTTATGTTCTCAATGCACAAAAAATATTATTGAATGATTATAAAATCTTAAGCATCTCTTGTAAGCTAAATGTTAATCGAGAGCCGGGAAAACAAATACGTATTAGTCTCTAGACTGCAACATCAAATCCATCTATTTGTTGTTGGGGTTTTTTCATTGAAACCAAAACTAAATAAAAATAAAAGAGCACTTGATTTCAATCAAGTTGTAATGTTTCTTCTCTGCTTCTCCTTGACTATTATTTGCATCTGAATATGCAGAACACATTAAAACAGCACAAGAGCTACAAATCCAAAATATTTCTATTAATCTGAAAATAAAGATTAAAATTTTATTTTAATGTGATTAAAAAATGATATCTTTAGTACTGAGTAATAGCTGAAAGAAACAAATAGAATTGGACTTTAGGTGAATAAAAGTAGCATAAAACTTAGACATTGGTGAAGCATTAATTCAGGCATTTAGGACAGACTAGCCCTATAGATTAGTTGACAAGCAGGTTCCTCTGGCTAATCCTGTATAGAAATTGCTTTAAACCCGCTAAGTAATGTTGCTTTTAGCTATGTGTTCTGTTTTAATCAGGTTATAATGAAAAGTTAATCGAAAAAAGATAGGAAACAGTATGAAATACTCAGTCATTTTCATTTGCACTGCATTCAATACCTCTTTATGAGTTATAAGCTTCAGTCCTTTGGTTAATAAACCTGAACATTTTTAGCAATTCTATTTGATTCTTGTGTCTCTTATGGTTCCCGTAACATTTCCTGAAATATTTACTCTATGTCAGTTTTAATTTCAATCATCTAAGGGGATGTTTTATTATTTTCCTTGTTAACTACTGGAATATTGTGCTCAAATACACAGTTAACAGGAAGAGTTTAAGTAGCCAGGGAATAACCGGGAAGCGAACCCAGGCCACAGCAGTGCCCTGATCCTGACCACCAGACCATCCGGGACTTGATTCAAAATTTTTAGCAGGGTTTTCAGATGATGTCTGTTAATCAACATTGTGATGTGAAGCTTTGCAATATGCTCCTCAACTAAGACGTATGTCTGTCTTCATCACACTAAAATAGACAGTTTAACCGAATGTACTGAGGTATAGTAAGAGATGATTGTGTTCTAAAAGCTTTCCTTTCACTAAATTCACATAAAATGGATTTTCCTCAAACACAGTTGATCGGCTTTGGATTCCAAGCCAAGATTTTGAATACCTTTGGCATACACTGGATGACAGGTCACTAATGCCATGGCCTACAAAAGTTGTACCAGCAAAACACCACTAAATTGTAACAATTTAAGTGACTGTCTACCCAAAAAAGTACTGTAGAAGACATATAGTAAAGACCTACAGCTCTCCACACATTTTTTTTTTACATCGTTTGACTTGTGAAAACCTACTGTAGCTCAAGAAAAGACAACTTTATCCAAACTTTATCAGATCCCAAATGCATTGTTAAACAAGTATCAGAATGTAAAAGAAAAGAATTAAAAAGATCTCATGTTACACTGATGGTTGACAGGTCATAGTACACAAGTTGTCACATTAAACAACAAAACGCCTTAGACATAAAATGGGGCAAGATCTTGAAAAATCTCAGTTGGGCTTGGAAGATGTGATCAAGTGGTATGCACAGGTTGTAATCTCATTCACCAGGAAGAGTTTACCTAGCCAGATGGTCAGGACGAAAAGCCTGATCAACAGAACGGTTGCATTATGTTTTTACAGAAATACAGTTTTAGTTTATGAAAATCAACTATCAACAAGATTAGAGATATGCATTCAACTAAGTGGGGAGGTTGTATAATACCAAATGCAGTTAAAGATTCAGTAAGATGCTTTCCCACTGAGTGGGGCTGAAACACCAGTCATGTTAGTGTAAAGTACCAAAGCTCAACATCAACCCACCAGTTGGTGAACCAATACAAATTCCCTGACCAGGAATCGAACCCGGGCCGGAGCGGTGAGAGCGCTGAATCCTGACCACTAGACAATCAGGGACTTGTTGTCAAGATTTTAGTAGGGTTTTCTGATGATCTCTGCTAATCAACATTGTGATGTAAAGCTTTGCAATATGCTCCTCAACTAAGACATATGTCTGCCTTCATCACACTAAAATAGACAATTTAACCGCATGTACTGAGGTAAAGTAAGAGATGATTGTGTTCTAAAAGCTTTCCTTTCACTAAATTCACATAAAATGGATTTTCCTTAAACACAGTTGTCCGACTTTGTATTCCAAGCCAAGATTTTGAATACCTTTGGCATACAAGGGATGACAGGTCAACAATGACATGGCCTACAAAAGTTGTATCAGCAAAGTACCACTAAATTGTATCAATTTGATTGATTGTCTTGATGGTTAAAATTGAGGTGAAAATGCAGTAAGAGCAGATTTTAAACTTTGTGCCATAAATTATCATTTGTACTTCAAAACAAACAAAATAATATGGCCGTGCAGGTAGCGCATGGTCCTCAACGTGGCTTACTCGGGTTTGACTCCGACCTGTGGTCTTTTGCCGCATTTCTCCCCCCCTCTCTCATACCCCCTTTCCTGTCAGCCTAATGTCAGAAAAACGAGCCACTAGTGCCACAAAAAATAAAATAATATAATAAAAACATCTAATATTGGTACCAATGACTTTTTGTGATTATTATTAGCTTGCATATGATTCATAGAATAAAGCCACTTATATTACTATAGGGCTGCATGGTGGTAGCCCTGTTTCAATTGCAGCAAGAAGGTTATGAGTTAAATTCCCGGCCCATGGTCTTCCTGCATGGTGTTTGCATGTTCTCCCTGTGCATGCGATGGATCTTTCCGGGTACTCGGGCTTTCTCCCACAGCCCAAATACATGGCTGTTAGTTTGATTGGCTTCTCTAAATTGTCCTTAGGTGTGAGTGTGTGTGTTAATGATTGTGTGTCTTTGTGTGTCTCTTTATTGCCCTGCGACATATTGGCGACCTGTCAAGGGTGTAAACCCGCATCTCGCCCATAGACTGCCAGGGATAGGCACTGGCACCACCGCGACCCTGACAAAGACTAAGCGAGTGAAAATGGATGGATGGATGGCTATATTACTACAAGGTTCAACAAGTCACCCGATGGGTTCCAAAACATCAACAAAAAAACACTGAAACAAGTTAAATATTGCATCAGTTGTAGAGCTCTAATGTCAAGACTGATGAAAAATATTATAAATGCCGTCTCACATTTACTGAAAAAGTCTCAATGAGGTGAGGCTAAAATTCTGTCAACAGAGAAGAAAACAATTTTAACTATTTGGAAAGTGTGCATCATCCTAGAACTAGTGTAAAATGAACAGATCAGTTCAGAAAACCAACTCCCACCAACATTCCACCAATGTGATGGCATGGTCGAACTTCGCAATTCCGCAGAGGGGTGTGGTCCAGAGTTTCTCCACAGAGATGTAAATGACTCACTACCCCTTATTACAAAGTCTTGACCTCAGCTGTCACCAACAAAGACACAACAAGCTAACAGGTTTCAAAAGAAGACAAGTTTCTATGGCTGTTTTTTTCCCTCTACTGACATTTTAGAATCTGCACTTTGACTGATGCAAATGTGTTAATTATTTCCAACACTCCTACAAACACAAAGAAAAAAGCCAAAGAAAACTGTGGGGATGCAAAAGGAATATTAATAGCTCTGCATATTAGCTAGAACTTTACAATCGGAAAAATCAGTGCATGCATTGGAAAAAGAGTCATCTTTACTAAAAAAAATTAAAAAAAACCTTGCCATCATTTGAACCCATTAAAACATAAAAATGTGTAAACAAAGTAATATTGCCAGTTAACAATTTACACATATATCACAAAAACTTTGAAAAGCTTTTATTTTTAAACATGCATGACAGACAAAACGATGGTGACAGAATGTCTACACAAACATATGATGTTACAGTCTCTGTTTGAAATAACAGTAACAGCTAAAGTAGAAATAGGGATTTACAATGCATGTGGTAAATACATTGAAAGTGGAGGCACTATAAGGGAGAATGTTTAGAAAACATTTACTCATCTTGAAACCCAGAAGTACAGGATGTACCGAGAATGTACAACTGAAGCCAGATTTTTTTACTTTTTTTTTTCATTGCAAAGCCTGTAAGCAGTTTGGGGACGTACAGATGATGATGATATGACTGTTACATTGACCTTACTTTTTTTGAGTCAACTCCTTAGTTATGATTGTTGTCATTGTTACATAAGTAGGAAAAATGGGGAACCTTCCAAGCCAAAAAGCACTAAACTCAATTAGAAATATAATGGTGGATGTGTCATGTTGTTGTGGTATTTACCAACAGAAATGACTGTTTGACTTCACAAAATTGAGAGTGTCATAAGTAGAGAGAGGAAAATTTTGTGAGCATAATCAGGCAACATCTGAAGGATATTGCCAGCAAGTTAAAGCTTCAGCACAAATCAGTCTTCAAAACAGAAAATAATAAGATTATTGACCGTTTGGGAGACCAGTTGTACTGCTCAATCGGTTTCAGAGTGGCTTAAAGACAAAAAAGTCAATTTGTAGAAGTGGCTTCTGATTTTAAACAGATCTTAAACTGTTCTAAGTCGTACTCCATTATTTAACAAAACAAATGATCTTACAAAAAAACTGATCTAAAACAGGAAAAGTTTAGTTTCAACTTGAGATGTTATTAGAGAAAAAGTTGTCTTTTGTGCAATTTATGTAAGCCCCTGGTTTGAATTTTGCATGGGTCTTTGCTTCTATCTCACATACACTTTATCATCATCCTCGTGGCTTTGGCTGAATAAGGGGCGGGCCCTTTCCATGTGAGCCAGTGCAGACCTGAGGCCCAGCCAATGTGATTTCCAGAAGGATGCCAATCACCGTTCAGACTGGCCGAGCCACACCTGCTGTACCACCAACCACCACCCTCTGAGAGGGAACACTTTGATTCGGCGATGTCACCGAAGATGCACGGGGAGCAGCCGTCATTGTCGCGGTCGATGGTGCTGAAGCCGAAGCCATTTTGGTCGATGCCCTCATAGGCCCCACGGATGGCGTCACCTTTCGGGTAGACAGAAGTTTGTCAAAATTAAAGTTTTAAAAATTGCACAAAAATAAGGATAGGAAGCTTATTTTCTCAACATCACTTTGAAGCATCACAGTAATTAGTAACAATGCATCCTACAAGAGAGGTCTGTTGCAAGTCCTGCTGATAACCTCCCTCTATAAATTTGAAAATGCTTTCTCTGTCTTCCTTCTTTATGCCATTCTGACAAAGTCTTTTGGTATTGGTCATGGTGTCCAGAGCCTGGTCTGTGGCTAGCATATAACCAATGGAAAAATACAATGTGATGTTATTCATGAGTTAACGTGCGCCCCAGTTAACAATAATAATAATAATAGTCTAGGCTAGCCTCCCCTTAGTGGCATTCCAGAAAGTTCACTTATTGTTTGTTTAACTACTTAACAGCATTTGTTTAGCCCAGCAAGAAAAACTAGACATTCGTTGGTTATGGTATAAATGTTTCTTTTACAATCTTCCATCTGATGGAAAGCCAATCTTAACTAATAAGTGGAGCTTTAATTTTAACTTCAGTTGTTAGAGCATACGGCTTGGAATCCTGAGGCTGTGATTTCGAAACTCACTCCCACAGACTGCCACTTAGGGTCCCTGAGCAAGACCCTTAACCCCACACTGCTCCCCAGATGCCGCAAATGGCAGCCCACTGCTTCCCAAGGGGAGGGGTTAAATGCAGAGAGTGAATTTCGGTGCGCTGCACTTGTGAGAGTGTAATAACAATGAAACGCTGGGGGAAAAAAAGATAAGTTAACCTTATTGATAGGGCATGATGAAACAGAATTACTTCTTGGTAGCTTAGCTCCATTAACATGGAGGTCTTAGTAGATTTAAGGCTCCCCTTTGGGTACTCCTGCTTTCTCCTTCTATCTAAAAACATGACCACTAGGTTAATTGATTTCTTTGAATTTGAAATGGTGAGTTAAGCCGGGCAAACACGTGCAATTTTTTGCCCTTTTCAGGCCAATTTTCCAGTCATGCAAGAATTTTTCAGTTGGTGTCGTGTAGTGTGCAGGGGGTAAGGAGGGGCTATCAGCCTCTCACGACTACCTCCCAATCAGGAATCATGAGGTCGGGAGAAAATCAAACATATTTGAAAGTCAGTTGGTCGTCATGGGCAAATCACTAAGTGGGCATGTGCAAACAAGGACTCTACTTCTTCCTCTGATGAAAACACAGAAGCATGGCGGGGGTGCGGGTGAAATGGAGTCCTTTATGCAAAATTGATAGATCCTAGTAGCCAGGTTTGCTCAGCCATGTCTTTGTCCAAATACGTTGTCAGCTTTTCTTTTTAGGGCTTTCAGCACAAAATTGCACAAATTGCCAAGGCAGCTCGTTTCACTCTAGTGAGCTTCATTATCCTCTTCTACTGGTTTGGCTCCCGGATAGACGAGTCCGAGTAGCGACATCAGAATGTCGGGCCGCACAGTGTGAGTGAGCTGTGAACTTTTAAACCCTGCGATTTCGCGGTACGGTTTGAGCTGCAGCTGGAGGGGTTCCTGTACTGGAAGTTTAAAATGTTTGATAATTTCATCCAAGAACGCATGGATATTGATAAAACCATACTAGACAAAATAGATCTACTGGTAGTTCAGTGGGAAAGAAAAAAATCTCCTAAACACTAAAAATGCTCACATACCTGCATTTCCACTGTATTTCCCAACATGGAGTTTAAAAGCTGTTTTTTCATTTCCCAGTCTGAAGTCCTTGTATTCAGCAACAGCAGTGCCACCTTCATGATCCCACAGATCCACTCTCAAGATCCAGTTCTTTGATTTTTTCTTCGTCAGTGCAAAGACCTTCTTGAGACCCAGCCAGTGATCACCTGAGGAGTCAGCACAGAGACCCATGCATTTTATTTCATTGTTTTTTTTTTCCTCTGCAGCATTTATGTACCTTGGATTTATTTCTACATTTGGTTTCGAGTCATTTCACAATAGGGGAAAAAGTTCCTCAAAGACAAGATTTAGTCTACATACCTGTTTGGTTTCCAAATCCATTTTTATATGCGGCCCATTTTTTATTGAAGGAAACAGAGCCTCCAGTTCGCCTCTGAAACACCGTCCAGCCTCCATCTGAATTCATCTCACAGTACACCTGAACAGCAAATACACAAATAAAGAGGCTTTCAAGTTCTACGCCACAATTAAAATGCAATTTTCTTTTACAATTAAAAAATATCATAAAATAATACTTTTTGAAAAATGTTTTAATCACACTTCTTATTTTTTAATGCCTGGTTCATTTCAGGCCAACATGTGGTTTCCTTGTAGTGCTGCAGATATTTAATCATCCTAAGCAGGTTCCACTAAATGAGGTTCACCTCTGGCTTAAACACAGTCCTGCCTTTATGTCTACTTTTAAACTGTGTCTATAATTAAAATTATCTGAAAAAAAACAAAGCCAAACAGATAGTTCTTAGTTCTTACATTTATTAATAAGGCATTTATAAATAAAGTCTTAGGCATCCACTCAGTTAAGTGATAATTAGAAAAAGCTTTGATCAGTAACCTTGAAGCTGCTTTTAAATCCTGCAGGCGTGATTTGATAAACTCCACTGGTGGCCCTTGGAGAACGAGTCTTAATCTGTGAGCAGTCTGTACCTAAAGTCAGCAAAATTAAAGATAAGGTGCCCACAATAATACGTTTCAATTCTTTGTTATAGTTATCTATGGGGTAGCAGATGTAAAAATGTATCATCCCCATGACATTTTTGTTATTTAGTGCACTGTCTGTGCTTCAACTACTTTTCTCACTCACATTAAATGGCAAATGTAATATAAATCCATATCTATTATTATAAATACTAAATAAATAAATGCTGCTTATGTGGAATATATTTCTGAATCCTATATATAGATAAATATTATTTATATCTAAATAGTATTTTATATTCCCAAAAAGTAAAAAAAAAACATTCACTGGACTTTGGTTCCAAATTTTATATGTATAAAAACATATATATACATGATATGAAATATGTGAAAATATACATTTAAAAATACAGTTTTAAAAACATCAAAAAGACTAAGCTAAACCCTCTTGTTTGCATTCCTGAGATGTTGGCTGTATCGAATTAAGCCAGCTTTTGTCCCTAGCTCCTCCTCCTTACATGAGTTCAACACTAAGAGCTCTATTGTACGTAGGAAAGGAACGCCTGAATCGTAATTACATGGTTGTTTCCCGTCAAATCTGGAACAACAGCCTTCCGAAAAAGAACTTTAAAAAAAGCACTTTACGCAAATGAAAAGATCCGCTTAATCTCTTATTACGCAAGTATAAACACATAGAAGTGTGTCTCACACACAGTACACAGAAATTTTTTTTATTATTTTCCAAGAGGTAATGCCTATGCATCATGTCATACAAAGGATTATATAATTAACTATGAGACTTAAGATAAAAGACATAGATTTATATTTAAAATTAGATTTAATTTATATATTTTTTTAGATTAAAGGTTTAAGATATGCATTTGAGATTGAAAACATACATTTGTATTTAGATTAACATTTAGATATTGATTTAATATTTAGATCTAAATCTAAGATTCAGGTATAAGTATAACATCTAGATATAGGATGTATAAACAGATTTCATGTATCCATAGATGAAATCTGTATTAAATATTTAGAGATTTAACATCTATAGTTAGCATTTGCCATTGAAAATGAGAAAACAACACTGAACGTACAGAAACTGCTGTAAATAACAAAAATGTGCATGTATTATTTTAACCACATTTTTACATTTAGTACCCCAAAGTTAGCAGTCATTATTGGCAGATGTTTACCTTGAGATTTAGCAGCTTTCTTCTTTTGCTAAGAACATAAAAAGAAAAGTGTTTTAATTACATGACTTGATTAAAGTAGACTTCTTCCCGGCAGACAAACCTGAGTCATAGTTACCTCGGCTTGGACTGAACAGCTCATCAGAAGTGTGAATATGAGCACACCATAGCAAGGCAGACTCCTCATTTTGACCTGCAGAATAAAATTAGAAGCTGTTGAACATCTTATTATCTTAAAGAAACAGAAGAACTTGGAATTGGTTTCTAAAGCTGGACCATGTGTAAGCATTTATAAATGGCTCCAATCAAACATCACAGCGGTTCCTAGTATAATACGTACCTGCATGTTGGTTGAACCTTGCACCCCAGCTCAAACAGCACAACAGATGCAGCCCTTTTATACAACTGACTAAACTGCCACACCTCCTTCCCGGTTTCCATGAACGCACTCCTTTCTTTTTTTTTTTTTCCTCAGGTCATAATTAGTGGTAAAAAGCAGCAGCAGACAGGCATTGGCTCTGACAGCTGGGCTGAAAGAAAACATATCCTCCGCCCCCTAAAATGGGGCACACATACTTTCAACAAGGGAATGTCAGTTTTACTGCCTGGAAACACCCCCAGTTAGTTTCTTCCCTTCTCCTTTAAGTAAACATGTGAAAGTTATCAGTCACAGGGGTTTCTATGAGAGTCGTTCAGAAAGCCTGGATCAATGCTAGGAATTGGACAGTTTTTCTTGACAACCAGGACTTTTTATCTGAAATCCCTCCTTTGCTTTTGCTTGAGTGTGTGTATGTGAACTGTGAGCACCCATAGGTCTGTGTGTTGTTTGGCTGTTCTTCCTTACAACTGGCCTTTAGCTGTGAAAGTTGTCACACTGGCTGCACCATTAAAGTGTCAGTCTCCTACACTTTAAGCAAAAACTACGTATTCAAAGTTTTAATTATTGTATCCATGTTACAGATATAGATCATTTTAATTCCATTATGTTTTACTGTCTTAAGATATAATAAAAGAGAACAACTTTGTTTGCTTCCTCAGTAAACAGCAATGGGACAGCCATTTCCTCTATAAAAGAAGGAAGAGGAAAGGTTTAATTTAAAAGTGGGCTTTTAGATTCATGTTTTTGATCAAACAGATTGGATTAGCAGATTCTACAGCTTTAGGATAATAATAATTCTCGATCCTTAAATGATCATAGGGACTCTGCCAATCATGCAGGATAAGTTTCGCCCTGAGCAGTTTCCTTATGACCCTTTCACTTCCCCTTTTCCTCCGACTTTCTGACTTGACTCATCACTTTCTTTTAATACTTTATTCTTTAGTCAAGGGCCTCTAATAAAGGTTTGGGAAGCAAGGACTGAGCTCACCTCACCTAGAGGGTAACCCGAAGAAATGAGAGAGAAAATGCAAACTTCATGCAGAGGATTTGAATCTCATGCTAGGTGGGCATGTTATTATTGTAAATCCATTATACTTGTATAATAAATGTTAATACATTCAACAATCTGAGGAGCAGAGGGGATTCCTGACAGTGTATTAGCCAGGGGATCTCTAATTATTTGTTGGTTTTTTTATTATTTATTCACATTGTTAGTGGTTGAGGCAGTGGTGGGTTTAAGAAATATGGGGACCAAGGTGAAGGCAGGCATGGGGCCCTTTAAACAGGAAGACAACTCATAACAACATTATACCTATATAGACATTTTAACAGAATGCACGTGGTTTATTAATTTACTTTTTGTCCCCTTTCCTTTCTTCTTTTTCTCTCCCTTTTGCTCAATCTTTGTTTTTCCATCCTTTTTTCGTTCTCTTTTTCTTGTACTCTTACACTCATTTAACTCTCATCTTTTTCTTTTTCGTCTTCTTGTCTTTTTCTTGTTTTCTCCCTCTTCATGCTTTTTTTTTTTTTATCCCTTTTTGTCATAGTCTTTATACTTTCTCCCTTTTGTCCCTTTAATTGTTTTTTGCCTCAACAAATCTACAGTATCAAAGAAGAGATTCATGTGTACAGACTAAAGAACCCCAAAAGCTTGAAGTTTTCCTGGAAATTCAATACAAAAAAACAAAATTTCTTAAATGATTTAATTCTCATCTACTGTGAAAAAAAATTCAAAGCTTCTGGTGCTTCAAAATGAACCATAACATTTCCAGTCTTCAATTGCACAAAGAAATGAAATGAAAGAAAAAGGCCTACTTATCATTGTAGCAGTATCACGTATCACTGTTAGCAGTCAAGAAGCTAGTCACTTTTGATAGCTTTAAGAGCATGTGTCTGCAATAATAATCTAAATAATAATTATTACTGTATTAACTATGCTGGTATGAGGACTTTTGTTGGGCACTCAGGAACTTTTGAGACTCTGTAACCGGCTAGTTTTGCCTAACAGTAACTCCGTCCATGGATATATAATGTAATAAACTCTGGTTGTTTTGATTGGTTGTGTCAGAATTCCTTCACAGTTAAAAGAAAAATGTCTAATTCCACTTTTTCTGTCAGAAGATTCTTCAGGAAGATGTGATGGCAAGGCAGCATGCTAGGAGCATGCATTCAGAAAGTAAAGCATAAGCTGGAGTGAAGAGATCAGGGACAACATACTCAATTGATCTATATTTATTGCATAGATCTGCACAATAAGAATCATCTGATAGTCAGTTTATGCAGCCTTAAGTCATTGATTCATCTGAACATAAAAACAAACACATGTTTAGATCAAAACCAGCTCTCAAATGCTTTTTTATTTATTTATGCTAAATGACACCCGATCAAGCGATGGATTAAAAATGGAAATTCAGGCAAAATGTTGGATAGAAACTACTTAATCTTCTAATATTGGATTATCTCAAAATCAATAAAAATATATTGATACTGATTGTCATCTATGAATTAAAAGACAACAGACAAAAATAGATGCTAATTTCAACAGCTGCACTAGAGACCATGACATGTTAAATCTATGAAATAAACTTTACAGGCAAATTTTTTCCCAACAAATATCTCCTCTTATTCAGATTATGGAGATAAAACAAAATAAAATGCACAAGAAGTTGTGCGTCATTATAACACACTGGTTTCCATTTCAGTATAACCACATAATTACAGCCTATCACTGCATTTGACTCCATCCATTCAGAGAAAACAATAGTGAAAGGCTCAGTTGCCTCTAACTTAATGCAGACAGGATGGAGGTTAGAAAAACAGCTTTTCATTTGGATAAACACTTAATAGACTCAATGAAAATAATGACTAAAGAGTACTGTAGGAACTGTAGGAGGTGATAGATCTAAATCTGAGAACAGTATTTGTGGTTTAAATGATGGAAAATTGATGGTCCTAAATAATCTAAACAATGTAGATCCCCAAGGCCTACCCAGTAAGTTTAAGCATTTCTTGGTTTTTAATATCTTCTTATACTTTCTTTTCATCTCAATGTTCAGTTTTTTCTGTAGGTCATTGCTTAGATGAGTGGGAGGTGTAGACAGAAACATTCCAGGCTCCTAGAGTCATCTGTTTAAGAAACGATCCTTATTAGAACAGAAAGGGGAAAAGGGAAATGCCTTGAACATGACCGTGATTGGCTAAAATAAAACCAAACAAAAGTCTCTGAAAAATGCTCTGTTAAGAATGACCTGCATTTCCATGAATCCTTTTAACAGAAGGAGGCTCAGGATAACAATATGTTTTTAAATTTGATTTCTTGTGTTCGCTTTTGGCTTCTGAAGTTTATTTGCAGGGCTGTAGTTTACGCCAAGGGAGAGGAAAACTAAAGTTAAAACAAAAACGTCTGCTTTGTGGTGACAATGGATCTTTTTAGCTGTTATCTTTTATTCATACCACATGCTCAGATGGAGAAATAAGTTCCTATATATCAGCATTAGAGCAAAGAATGACTGAGCAGTCATCCTCTTCCATCCCAAACCCAGCGTAGAGCGGCTCAGTGAAGTTATTGTAGAAGGTGTAAAGATGTTTGAGGCTCCCAGCAGAAACACTATAAAAAGACAAGGTCCCTCCAGGCCAATCCAGAAAGACTGCAACCTTGTGAGAGGGAGACGCAGGTGCAGATATTTCCGACCCCCTGCTGTCATGTTCAACGCTGTAATGATCCTCAGAGCAAAATAGACACCAGGACTTATCAGTTTTGCCGAACCCAGTCAAATAACTACTCGCCCTGCGGCTGATTCCCCTCATGGCGACAGCAATGTCCACCCAGCGCCCTCGCCACTCCACTTCCCAGTAATGGCGCCCAGTGAGGCCTTGGTGACACAGGACCTGGGAGACGCTTTCAAACCGTTCCGGGTGCTTTGGGTACGGCTGTGACTCCCTGACCCATGTCACCTGTTTGCCCCCATCGTGCAGAAAGAGAGACGTGGCTGCCGTGTTGGAGTCAAAGGTCAGGGTGCAGGTGTCTGTGAAAAAAGAAAGTTCTTGTTTATCCATCAATCATAATGGTAATGTAGGCATTATGTAATGTTGAAATTCTGGTGTTTACAGTGTGATCCCTGATGCTGGGCTTGTTCTAAGTCTTAGCAAAGGAAGTTAAGAACCACCAGGGATGTAGCTCCTTGTTTGGGTTTTTCATAGACATAGCCAACGAGAATAAAAATCTTTGAATTATATTTTTAACAGGGATGAAAAAAGTATAATAACGGCATTTAATTTGGAGGACAGAAATAAAACAAACATACCCTGACTAAAATTAATTCTCTAAATGTTTAACTGCTCTGGTAACATTCATTTAAAATATTAATTTTAAATGTTATAACTACAGTAAGGGTTAGTTTAAAACAAGCATTGGAATTAACCATAAAGGGAACTTTGTGTGATTTGAACTTGGTTTCCATAAACTGCTGATCGGTTTGGATTATCATTATCAGAATTATTTTACAGATTGTAGGTGAAGATTCTCAGTCATCCAGGTCATGGTCGAGTTTGAAAAGTTCAGTTTAGGCAACTGGAAGTGCAGTTTTCCCCCCTAATCCAAGCAGCTTCTTCAGTTCTAAATATTGGTAGAAAGCACTGAGATTAATATGCTGTAGGTCTAACAAATAGAGGGAACAAAGGTGGCTCTGATCCTTCCTACTAGATTGGCCAAGGAGGACACCTGGGGGTGTTCATGGGTTGTTAGGGGGTTCTGCTGGGTCATTTACCGTCTCGTCAGAGTGGTTTTGGTCAAAGAGCAGTTAAGGAAGTCGTCTTTGTTAACCTGGAAAAACCTTCTCTTAACAGAAGCGGTGGTCTCATTACCTTTCAGCTACTTACAGAGCACTTTTAGGAACAATAAAAAGATCCGCCCTCACCTGACTCACACTTCAATGAGGCATGTGACCGAAACCACTCTATCGAGGGAGTTAACATCCCATGAACACCCCCCAAGTGAATTCCATGGCCCATCCAGTAGGAGGGATCAGAGCCACCCTCTTGTTCCCCCTCATTCTTAAGTGCTGGTTATCCTCCTGCAGTAGTGTGACGCAGTGAGCTTGTCGCAGATATTTTTGATTTATGCCCAATATTGAAGCGTGGTCTGCGCTATGTTATTCCACGCCACAACGCAGGAGGGACAATCACAAACTAGCTGTGGGTCTAGATACGGCTGACGTGGGGAGGTGGGGGCAAGTTTGTTCGACAACGGAGGGACATGAGGGCGAAAAAGAGCGGGGATCCAGGTGGAAAAGGGGTCCCAGTGTTCTCCCACACATTACTCCTCTAGCTGGTCCATTTTCCAAAATGGCGGTCTTATAAACAAAACAAGCCGGTAAGGTACCAAACAGGAAATACGGATATTGTAGAGCTGATGTAGATTTGACCAATCAGAGGCCTCCTGTCTGAGGACAACTACAATTTTGGAGAGTGTCTGTGGAAGGGGGTTGAGGGACATATTTGCGTTCACTGCGACACACACAGACAACCTGGTTTCTGAGTATAAATCAGCCTTTAGTTCCACCTATTATGTCTGCTTCAATCTCCTTGAACCGCAGTCGGTCTCTGGTTCTGCTGGAGGTTTCTTCCTGTTAAAAGTGAGTTTTTCCTCTCCACTGTCACTAAGAGCATGCTTGGTGTAAGGGATTGTTTCAAGTCAATGCTTTTCTTCAGCTTTTATTGTCATCACACTGTACACTGTCAGTACAAAGCAATAGAATTCACTCTCTGCATTTTAATTAATTACACTGTGTCATCATTAATGGAAAATATCTCACAGGAAAGGCATCCATTGGGCCTGTTTCTGTGGAATGGATTTTTTTCTATTATGTTCACAAGCAAAGAACATGTTTTGTAAATGGAAATGAGAAAAAACTGAAATTTGAAATGTGATCCACATTGAAACTTTGAAAAACATTTGAAAAACAGGTTCTTGAGAGTAAGTGTACAGTTTTTATTTTTTTTACTGAAATTTATTTTACATAATTTAGTTCTTTTAATGTTAAGTATCTGCAAGTATTTTGAATTTTTAAATCTTGTTTGTAATATTTTTTAAGGATTGTTTTATTTCTATTTTTTAGATTAAGATGTGTAAATTCCATTATTTTCAAACTGCATTTAAAAGATAACAAGCTCTTTACTTTAAACCAATAGAAACACTTGCTCGCACATTGACCAATAAAAGTGTTGTTGCTCAAGTCCATGCAGACCAATAGAATTGTGACTTTGCTCCTCATGCTAAAGTAAATCCCGCCTCCAGAAGTGAGGAAAATGTGCAAAATCTGATAATGCAACTTGAAAAAAATTACTAAAACTCCATCTGCAAAAATGCACATTTAAAAAAAAAAGAAAAATTTAAAATGTGTAAAAAATAAACGTTAAAAAAATTGATGAATAAAATCTTTTTAAAAAGTGTGGAAAATACAACTTGTTTGAAAAATACATATTAAAAAATTAATAAAACAAAATGTTTAGAGAAAATACAAATTCTAAGAAAACAGCATAGAAGTTATTAGTAAAAATTTAACTTTTTTTTATTAAGAAGACTTTTAAAGTTTCATTCATGGATGGCCTTCCATTGCTTATGGGGTCCCAACCTGTTACTACTATGTATCCAACAGCCAATAAGTGAGACCTAAGCAACCAACAAGAAAAGATCCTTTGTTAGACAGTGTTTTTTTGTGTTGTTGTTTTTTTTAAAACATATGTCTTTGCACCATATGATATTTTAGCAGTCGATATGATGATACAGTATTAGTGAAAAGCTTTTAGGAATTATGCAAATGTTCACAGTTTGAAGGTCTGAAAAGCTAGTATGTGGATTGTTTCTACAATAATTCCTTGAAAAGATCAAAATTGAATCAGAATAAAATCAGTTTTAACTTCTTTTGACATTTATACCAACCAGTGCTCCAGCTATACGTAAATGCAACAAGCAATAACAGGATCTCATCCAAAGAGATTACTCCAACGTGTATTTAGATAACATTTGATGCTGATTGGAGGCTACAGGTAGTCATTTGGAGGTCAACTGATTTCCATACCAGTGCCAGTGATGATTTCATCGGCCTTGACGTTGTTTCAGGAGAGTAATTCAGTTAAGTGCTGAGTGAGATATGTACTTTAAGTGGCAGTACATTGACATCAATGTTTGTCTTAGTCCAACATTTTTCTCCATTGCAGCTAAATGATAAAAAAAATCTACAATGTATTGCATTTCACATTTAGTTCTGTGCATAATAATTCTGCTTTTGTATAAAAACAGGTATTTGTTGGATAGATGTATGTACCAAACTGACAGGGCTACTCTAGATATTTCCTGGACATATAATAGAAGCATCACAATCCTACTGGATAGCATTGCATAGTGTAACATCACCCTGCTTCCACAGTCAGCTTCATTAATTCTTCGCTGCTTTAAAGGCAAAATGATCTTATGAAGACTGATCCTCCCTGACAGATCAGAAATCTGTCTTTCATTCCAGAACGTACAAAACCTGATTGTCAATTTGTCTGAAGAACATCAACCCAAAGGTCTGGTTTTACCGTCATTAGTCTAAGACAGGGGTCTGCAACCTGTGGCTCCAGAGCCACGTGTGGCTTTTTAGGCCTTAATCAATCAAATAATAAAGTGCAAATAATCTTTTCAAATATAGAAAAACAAACAAATGAAGGTTTTAGCATTTTCTCTGTTGACCAATTGCATTGAATTTCCAAAATAAGTCGACTACAAATATAAAAGAAATTATTTTTAAGAGCAACCCATTGAAAATGAATTCTCTTTTTGATTTTTAACTAAAATCTAAAATCAAACAGTTTTTTCTTTAAAAATCTCAGATCTCCAGTGGGCAATATTACATGTAATGTTTGTGGCTCTAGACACCTTTTCTTAGCTGTACTGAAGCCAAAAATGGCTCTTTGGAATGTAAAGGTTGCAGATGCTTGCAAACTTTGCATATTTATGTTTGATATTAATGTTGAATAAAGTTGCATTCATGTTTTTGGTGTCAGTCAGGACAAAACCTGCAAACACTGGCATTTTCAGCTGAAAACAATATTAAAATGTAACAGAAGAATATATCAGGGGATATTAATATGTCTTTAAGATGCCAATAGCACAGTGTTATAGACCTTTACACTTTGTATGCGACAGTAAATGGAACTGATCCGTTTTTTATTTCCATAATCATTTTTAGGAGTCTATATGGCCATAATAAAAATCTAATATAATGAATAGAGCTAATAATAATGGAACACTTACAATTTTTCAGAATTGATTTCAGATAACATTCTTCACTGTGATCCACCCTGTAGGAGGGATTAAATACAAAAAAGAACATTAAAACAATTAAAACTCATAAGAGGACCATTTGAACAACATGACAGTGAGATTTCTTACATGTCTGAACAAAAGCTTTTGATGATGTCAGAGGTTTCATAAATAGAATCGGACTTAATATACTCAGCAAATTGTGCATTTGGTTTACCTTAGATCCTCTAGCTTACAAAGTGGATTATCCCGCTGATCTGAGATCAGATTGACTCCAGATTCCTGCAGAAAATTGTAGCTAAGGTCCAGCTTTCTGAGGTGCGAAGGGTTGGAGCTCAGTGCTGAAGCCAGATGTGTGCAGCCTTTTACTGTGACTCCGCAAAATGAGAGCCTGCATCATCAAGTCAAACTTTATCAATTTTCATGTCAGAGTTAAGATTTACCTTAAAAACTTAATTTGCTTCAGTTGATTTGTTAAAGCATTGTAATATAGGACAGGAAAGCTGGTTACCTTAAGGTTTCTAGTACACAGTTTGGGTTTGCTATTCCATTAGAGAGCAACTCCACTCCCTGGTCCTCGAGGTCATTTCCACACAGATCAAGCTCCTTCAGCTGTGAGCTGCTGGTGGAGAGGACTGAAGCAATTTCAGCACCGCACTTCTGGAGACTACAGTCATTCAATCTGCAAGGTTCAGACAGGGTACGCATCAGAAACTGCACCCTAAGTATGTTGCTTCAACAAGCAATATTTCATCCCAACTGAGAAAACATAAATCAGCATAATAATCAATGATTCCACTATGCTGCCAAAACTCACCTTAATGTTTCCAGTTTACAGTTCTGACTTTTGAGACCAGAGCACAGTTGGCTGAAACCTGGACCTTGTAGGTTGTTGCCACCAAGGTCCAGCTCTCTGATTGTGCTGCAATCTGTGCTGAGGACTGGGCTTATGTGGCTGCAGGATTTCTGTGTTAAACCACACCAGCTGAGTCTGATAAAAAAAAAAAAAAAAATGAAAATAAAATAAACTAAATATCCAACGTTTAATATCTGACCAGTAAGGTAAGAGCCCATATTATAGATTAAAAAAAATAATTATTATTTCAAGCTTATATGATTGGTTGAATTAGCTCACTGTATAGTAACATAGCTGTTAAAAAAAAAACCCTGCAAATGTGCAATCATTTTCTTTAAATAGTAGTAATTTTGTTGAAATAGCAGTTTTTTTATTTATTGTCCAATTAACATGCATACTAATTGGAACTTGTCTGTGCTGCAGCTTTCTTAAAATGTCTGGTAGGTTTACGCTTCCTACTCAGTGCACTCAGACCAGCTGTACAACCTTCAAAGACGAGAGCACGCCTGTTCATCTGAGAGGCGCATACAGAGCAGAGAAACAGGCAAAACGTTGTTTTAGACAAAAGAACAGAGCAAAAAATTATTTTACATGCAGTTATTTACAGCAGAAGCATTTAAAGTATAGGAAAAAAGAAGCCAGTTGCGTCTGATCTAATTTAAAAAGGATTTACTCTAAACGCCAGCATTAAAGTCTGATAAATTAAAATGTGTGGAAGCACTGCAGACTTTGAGGATATTTCGATTTTTTATTGAGCTCAGAATGAATCTTCTTTGGACAAACAAAACTTAACCATGATCATAATATGATCATTAATGCAAAACTAGGACTTATATTATAAGTCCTAGTTTTGCATTAATTTTCCTGTTGTAGCATTTTCTCCACTGGGTTTTATTTGATTTCTTGTTTTAGTCTCACATAAAATCTGCTATCTTTGTGATTTCTCTCCTTGAAGGTAACAAGTGATCATCAGTGGAAGTATATGCATAGCCCATTAGTTCTATTAGATGTTGAAGCAGTGTGTAGACGCAGCGAAGCAACTGCACTGCGTCTTTTGCCAGGGACCCACATTTTCAGAGTAGAGAAATTCTGCACAGTAGGACTTAGATCAGGGGTCTTCAACGTTTTCCAGGCCAAGGACCCCCAAATTGATGGCAAGATGGAGCGGGGACCCCCTAAATATATATATTGTATGAAATTGTGTTATATCAAACTGGTTCTATAGTCACTCTTCTACATATGGAGTCATGTAATGAAAGTAATTTCGCCCTGGGATTATTAAAGTATTTCTGATTCTGATTCCTGGATGATGGGACAGGTGTTGTAAATGAAACGGTGCCCAGCTTGAAAGAGCTCCTGTGTGTCACTGAATGTGTGCATTGAGGACTGAAAGACATGTTCTGGATCAAATTTATCTGTTTACTACAGTGAGTTGAACTCATGTTAATGTACATTTAAAGACATTTCACTTAGTGGAAAAATATAAAAAAAGTCTAATCAACCAAAACTTTCGCGACCACCATGCGCTACCTCCATGGACCCCTAGGGGTCATGGACTCCTGTCGAAGACCTCCGCCTTAGATCATCAGGATTGCTTCATCGCATTGCAGTTGTGTAGTTCTATGCTTAAATAGAATAATTAACCAGCTAAGTGTTTTTTTTGTTTTTTGCCGATACTAACAGTGTCTGGTGTGGCTGCTCTTGTTTAATCACTGTAACTCTTTTTCTTTGGATCTACCATTGGTTAGTGAATTTAAATCTTTTGTTTGTTTTGTTTTTTTAATCAATGCTCATATTCATAAACTTGACCAGATCCACTTTGCTTTCCATCAACTGAATTCCTATCTAAATGATTCGCTCTGGTATAGATTGGCATGGAGTTGGAGCAGCAAGCAGCAAAAATAGAAGTGGCCGGCCGCCACTTCTAATTTTTTTTTACTGACTTTAAATACTGCACCATGTCCACTTTGCACATCCAGACGAACAAGGGGTAAGAGTACTTTCACTATTCTTTATGTTAAACTACTTAAACTACTAGAGTAGTTTAACATAAAGAGTAGAAAGTAGTACTACTTTCATTAAGTATATTGTTGATATTCCGTAAAAGTTTAAAAAAAACAATCCACTGGATTTTGTTTAAAAGGTTTGAAGACGTTTCGCTTCCCCTCCAGGAAGCTTTCTCAATTCAAAATGTCTGGATTTGTATTGAGTTTGAGGCTTTATATAGACAAGGCCTTGTGTTGCTTGGAAACATGCAAATTGAAACTGGCGAGCGGTTTATTTGGTTCCAGACATTTTGAATTGAGAAAGCTTCCTGGAGGGTAAGCGAAACGTTTTTAAACCTTGGAAACAAAGTCCAGAGGATTGTTTTTTAAACTTTTATGGAATGACCATGACCTGGATGACTGAGGATCATTACCAGCATATATTCTTGATAATTGTCATATTTTTTGTAATCATATTAAATATATATTTCAATAAAAGTGTATTTGTCCATCCAAATATTCTGTTCTGTTAAGATAAATTTAAAACATTTCATTATTATTTCTTAGGTTTAACTTATGCAACTAGTCTCAAGTTAATGTTTTACTTTACTGACAGACCGTCTTGTAACTGGGAATGAGGTAAAATGAAAAGTTAACGGCATTTATGAAGTTGACTAGGTTATAAATTTGGTATTATTGATATATAATTGTAATGCTGTGCAAAACCATCAAACTGCAGAAGGCAGACCTACCTGAGAATCTCCAGTTTGCAGTTTGGATCTTTCAGTCCAGCTGAAAGCTGAAATACACCAGCATCCTTTAAGCCGTTATTACTCAGATCAAGAAATTTCAGCTGAGAAGCATGTGAGCTGAAGACTGAAGCTAAAGCCACACAGTCGTTCTCTCCCAGTTTGCACTGATTGAAACTGCAAAAGACGAACAAAATGTTTCAGCAACAACTTAATGAATCCATGCATACATAGTAATGGAACTCAAAGCATTTCTATGTTTAATCAACAATGAGGAGTGTCCTGTAGCTAAATACACCAATAAATGTGACCCACTGATTAACACATAATGTTAAAATCAAAGGACTTTAATGGGACACAATTTTAACCTCAGTTATTTCTATTGATTTTTAGTTGGATTCAAGTTAGTTGATTTACTGGGAGCCTTTTAACAGTTTTGCTTTCTGCCTCTGGAAACAATCTGGAGTTTCCTTGATTCAGTGTTTTGGACTAATGTCTCGGTTATTGACCTACTTTGATTTCATGATTCCGTTACTGAATAGTCTTATAAGTTCATCCTTTAATTGACTATTGATAGTACACAATACTGAAAGAGAATATTCGTCCTTATGTTCCCATTTTGCTGTTTAGGGTGATAAAAAAACGCAGTTTCCTTTATAAATTGTGTGTCATGCAACTTCTCAAAAAAGTTTCAATACAAAAGTGAGCCTACTATACATCATTGCCACATTCTTCTAGCATTTCTGTGCTTAGTCAAAGTCTTTAAACTTCAAAAAAAGATTCAAGTAGTATTAGTAACTTTTGAATGAATAGAGACAATTTCTTTGGATGATGATTTGTTTTACTCTTCTGATAGCCATAGCCCAAATCACTAAATTGGTGAAGGCAACTGGATTTTAACAGCCAATCAAAGAGTCCAGCCTTTACGTAAAAGATTAAGAACTCTGGTCAGTAAGCAAATTACAGTCATAATAAGTTAAAAAATAATCATTAATTGGGTTTTACCTTCGGTTTGAATGAACTATTATTTACCCACATCAAGAGTTTTGTGACTAACCCCTTTAGAAACATCACTCAAAAAATATGAAAAGGTTCTGAAGCTTTTTCTCCTCACAGCACTGTTTTCAAAGCAATAATTTAACTGTCAGAAAAAAGCAGACGTAACCTCAGTGTTTCCACTTTGCAATGACGGCTGCCCAGTCCCAGACTCAGGGCCATCACTCCTTCTTCATTAAGGTCATTAGCACTCAGGTCCAGCACTCTCAGCTGTGTCGACTCTGTGGTAAGAGCATTTGCCAAAGCCTCACAGCAGCCACCCTCAACTTTGCATTTATGTAGTCTAAAAAAAACAAGGAAGTGGAGAGAACTGTTTCAATTCAAAACTGCTTAAACAACCTGCTTACAAGAATAAAGTAAAGGGAAAAGCATATTCAGCAAGAAGAGCAACATTAGTTCTCTCTACCAGAGTTGGAGGAACAAAATATTAATCTGTTATTGCAGCACTTGTTTGCTCTTATTACATACTTTGACCCTTTTCTGTCAGAAGAAATTTTATGTGAACCAATGAAGACTTCCTGAGAGAATGAACTATCCTTGCCAGCAGGAAGTCTCTTTTTGCTCAATTAAACTTAAGTAAAAATATACGAATATTCTTGTTCTGATTTGGCTTAACATATATTTAAACCCCAACAAAAATCTATCTTCCAACATTGCTGCTTTAGAGAGAGAGAGGTATTATAAAGCATCAAATGGAAACACCTTAAACTCTTCAGCTTGCAATGAGGACTCCTTAGGCCATCAGAAAGCAGTCTCACTCCTGAATCCCTCAGACTGTTCTTGCTCAAATCTAAATCTGTCAGTTGAGAGGATGTTGAGCTCAGCGCGGAGGCCAGCAATTGGCAGCAGTTTTCAGTAAGCTTGCAACCATCTAGGCTTAGAGGGAAACACAATGCAATGGTTACATGAGGTTAAGGTTTGTTAACTTAATGTAAGATAATGACTTTCAATACATCAAAATGCTGCTTGATTCTGATAGGAGAGATGTTTCAATCAACTTAGGTTAGCTATACTTACAGGGCATGAGTGGAGGAGGTTATAACAGGAAGCAGCTTCTCTACCCCCTCTTCTGATCTTATGTATTTCTTTAGGTCAAACTCTTTCTCCAGAGCCTCGGATGTCATTAGCTCAAAAGTAAGAGCCGACCATTGAGCAGGAGATAACTGTTTGCTTGCAATCTTTCCAGAACTCACAAAGCTCTGGATTTCCTGAACAAGAGATTCCTCCCTGAGCTCCCCCAGACAATGGAACAAGTTAAGATTCATTTCAGGTTCTGCACTGATAATGTCTTTGATAAACTGTATAGTGTTTGCCACATCCTCCTCTCCTTCTACTTCCAAAGGCAGTATTCTGTAAAGAAGCTCCTGGTTTGACTTCAACGAGAGGCCCAGAAGAAAGCGAAGGAAGAGATCCCATTGGCCGGTCTTACTACTCAAAGCTTTTTCAATGGCACATTTATGGAAGCCAAAAACAGACTTTTTCAAGAGTTTTGAGGGAAATCTTCCAAGCCTTCCCAGAAGGACATTGTCCTTGTTTTGCATGTATGAATAATGGGCAAACACAGCCGCCAGAAACTCCTGGATAGTCAAGTGCACAAAGCTGAAAACCTTATGCCTCTTGCCCTCCTCCATCTGGAAGATCTCTGTGCAGACTCCTGAATGCATGGTTGCCTCGTTCACATCCATGCGGCATTCTTTCAGATCAGCCTCATAGAAGATAAGTCGGCCTTTTTCGAGCTGTCGGAAGGCTAATTCTGCAAGCTTCAAATAGACATTATCACTTCTCATGGTGTAATGCCTTTCACTCATCCGGTCAGTCTGGCAGAGAAGAAGATACGCATACATCTCAGTTAGGGTGTTAGGCATTCTGTCTGTTGCCTTGTCTTGCAGCATTTTTTTCATCAACTTGACGGTGATCCAGCAGAAAATAGGTATTTGACACATAACATACAGGCTTTTCGATGATTTCACGTGGTTGATCATCCTAAGCGACAGTGCATCATCCCTCACACGCTTCTTAAAGTATTCCTGCCACTGGTTTTCAGTGAATCCTTTCATCTCAGTCCACTGGTCAATGTACTTTCGGGGAATTTTGTTGGCCGCTGCAGGCCTGGAGGTTATCCAGATGAGCGCATTCCCGAGCAGATCCCCTGCAATGAGGTTGGTGATCAGCACATCAAGCAAGGCCGACTCCGTCTCGTCTCTCAAAACCTTGTTGTGTTTGAAATCTAAGGGCAGACGGCTCTCGTCAAGGCCATCAAAAATGAATAGCACTTTACATTCTGATAGCTTCTGAATGGGTTTAATGTCAGGGAAAAAGTGGTGGAGCAGCTGCATTAATGTATAGTTCCTTTCGCCAATGATTGAATTCAATTCCCGGAAAGGAAGTGGAAAGAGAAAGGTTATGTCCTGGTGTTCCTCTCCTTCCGCCCAGCTCAGTGTGAACTTCTGGGCACAGACAGTCTTACCCATTCCAGGGATACCCTGGGTAAGAACAGTTCTGATGCGCTTTTCTTGATTGGGCCTAGGCTTAAAAAGATCTTGAATGTTAATTGTTTCCTCCACCGATGTTTGCTTGGACTTCTGCTGTCTGACCTCACGTTCATCACTTAGGCTTCCCCAGGCTCCTGTTATCACATGGAGCTCTGTGTAGATTCTTTTCAAGTAGATGTTATCTCCTTCTTCCGCATTTCCCTCATAAATGTTCTGGCACTTTTCCTTTAATTTAGATTTCAGTCTCCCTTGGATGGTAACAAGGTCACTGTCTGTTCAAGGAAACATTTCACGCTTCAGTAAAATCATTGATGAACATAAATTATTAGAATTGCATATTTTTATAGTCTTACCTTTGTCTGTCTTATTTATTTGACCTGATCAAAAACAAAAGTGTACAGATTTTACTAACCATCACTTTTTTTGTAAACAAATCAACTAAACCTCTACCTTACCGTTGCTGTGAAACTCTTTTAGTTTATCAACTAAAAGCTTCTGTCTCATTTTCTCCAGTATCTTTATGGTTATGGTCACAGCACCGTCATAACCATATGTTGTCACCACAAGAGTCACAGTGTCCTTCCTGTCCAAGCCTTTAGCTTTAGACTTTGGGATATGAGCAAATCCTTCAACGGTTTTGCTGTAAAGATGCCACTGAAAAGTCTCCAGTTCCTCATCAAGCAGCTCCTCCAAAACCTCCAAGAGTTGTTCGTTTACAGTAGACATGTCTGTTCATCCTCTGGACAACGCAGCTGTTAAATGCAGCAGTACTTTCTGTTTTGAGACTATGTTTTCAAAGTGTGTCATCACCCCCATCATTTCCTGCTGAGGCTGACACAGTCACATGACCAGAAAAAATGTTTAAGATAAATGCATGCCTGTATGCCTTTGCACTGTAAACACAGGGGAATATGGGTAAGACTGACACAACCCTGAGGCAGAAGCTAATTACAGCTATATTTACCCAACTATCATTAAAATCAGGTTTCTCTTTGTTACAGAAACTGTTTCCCTACTTAGCTATACCTTATGCTGGTCAAATTTCATCAAAATAAATAGAAAATTATGGTTTTAAAGTAATTGAATATAACATTAAAGAGTGTAGTCTTTGAAATATTAAAATAAAAAATGGGAATCTTGTTTAAAAAAAACACAGGCTTTTGAACTTTCAACATATAGCTTTACAATTTAAAGCACCTATAATTTCCAAAGTTCTCCTGGTCCTCTAAAGTGCAACTTGAAGAAAGAAAACCTTAGATAAGATAACAGTTCCTTTTATAACAACCCATTGTAAACCTTAGTGAAAGGGCTCTTATCTGATTGGCTCCCTGGGTGAGCCTCTTCATTGGCTAAAAATGAGATAACAGGGTGGGAAAAACAAGGTGTACACAAGCAGAAAGCACGTTAAGCTGCTATCTTTGTTAACCTGAGCTGCAACACAAAGGGATGGAAACTCCATATTGACTGTACATGTACAAAAGAAACAGAAAACGTCTATATGTTGTCCATTCCTTTATATTTTCTCATTGGGCAACTTCTAATGGCCAGAATAAAAACTACCACTCCTTAAAAAGTTACACACATTTAACTATATGATATTTTGGAAAAACTTTCATTAGCACTGCTGGTAACACTTAAGTCTGAAATATATATACAGTAGTTGTAGTTCACAAACCAGACAAAAGAAATTCATACAGGTGAGCATTACAGCTGTTTTTATTGAAAACAGTTAGACAACTTTTTTATTGCTTTATCATTTGTAGAAACACAATATTAACTCCACAGCTAAAGTATTTTAAAGGTAGTTTATCTGCTTGCAGTTTTCTGGTGTGTTCCCAAACCTTCAGGCTCAGACAGGTCATTGTGTGACTGGTCATCTGAGCCGTCATTCTTCATCTGCAGTTTTGGATTATTATGTTGCACACTGCCGTTAATGATTGGTTGAGATATATTTCCACCTTATTTTATGGAGTCTAAGAAATTAGGAATTTTAAATTTTGTCATTAAAGAGGTATTACAGAGTTATCTAATACTATCACTTGTGGCCAAAATACAGCACTGCAGCACTCTTGCTTGGACTCGATAAGTTTTTTGATTACCTTACTTTGAGTCGTCAATAGTGACAAAATCCATCTTAACCATAACATGCTGATCATTTGCTAAGTTGGATCCTTTTATTATTGACATGCTTGATGTCACATCGGATGAACAGCACGGGAACTTGCGACCCGAAATAAAGTCAAGAAAATAGGCGGCAGGCTTAGAGACCACTTTCGGTGGTCTAAGACATATGATATTACGCTTCAAGTCGCTTGTTTAAGCAAACAGAAAATATAGCAAATTTGCATTTCCTTTTCTTTATGTCTTTGAAAAGGTCTCTTATTATATCAATTTCAGTTGGATGGAAACCCGGCTACTCTAATCTTTTCATCAGGATTGTCAAGAAAATCTTTTAAAATATCTCTTTTTCTGTGTTTTTCAATGGAAAATTCAGCTACTGTAAAAATTAAAGGGTTTTTAAAAATCAACATGATGGGTGCCAATAATTTCGAGGACTGTTATATTTAGGATTTCACTTCTTTTCTAAAATTAACTTTGATGATGTAATTTTACTCAAATCTCCAAAATGATCAAACTAATTCTGCAAGAATGAAGGGCTGAACACACCATAAAATAGCCGCCTCCCCTTCATGCAACAGAGGAGAGTCTGACAGTATGACTGGTACAAACCTTTCCCTCACATCTATGTTATGTTTAAGATTTAGAGATTAGTTATGGGAAATGTAGTCCAGCAGTGAAAACAGACTCTCCTTCAGTCTGGGGAGGCTCTATGTGGATCAAGTGATGCAAATCTTTGAAGCCCAGGCTGGAGGCTTAGCGTCGTATTTATCAGGAAACCACCTCTCCTGATCCTCCTGTTCACCACATGCTGCATCTTGTCCAGACAAAGGTTCAGGATCCAGGTACGGCTTCTCCAAAATTTTCAGAACTCTGTTGACCTATCAGACAAGATGCAAGAGAGATGTATAACTGGGACCTGAAAAAGGCAGCCAAGCTCTATTTCCTTCGATAAGTTATGGAGGAAAAGGAGAATTAATGAAAAAATAAACAGTCATTTCAAATATAACAAATAAATCACACAATAAGAAATCTAATTGATAAAAATGATTTCTAATAATATACTTTAGTGCGTTAGGAATTGTAAATTATATGTATCAATCCATTAGCAAATACATGAAATATTTGAAAATGTGCAAATCCTATTTATACAAAGAGATTTAAAAACTACAATTCATAATTCTAATTATAAATACCTTTCCTAATCTTACATTTAAAAAGGTTATTCCTTACTCCATTTCTGTTTTCTTTTTCACCTTACATTTTCAAATCCTTTTTTGCAGTTAGATTTTCTGATTATCTTTTCCATGTATCTTTTCTGTTACCCTTCTGTTTCCTGAGTGCATTGAAAACCATTAAACCATTTAAACAGCTTCTCAGATGTAACCAACCCTCTTATTGGTCAGTTTATGAACTAAGTGTGGCAATTTTGTTGGTACCCACAATGGTCACAGAAATACCTGGAAATATCAATACAAATTTTAAATATATGAAATTAACAAATGGAAGTCAGATTTTGTTTGTAACCATGCATTAACAAAATTATTGTTTTTTATTAAATTAAATGAAAGGAAAAAAGTGATGGTACTCTTAACTTATATTGTTGCCCAACAGTTTGAAGCAATCACTGTTATCGAATGATTCCTGTAACTGTCAATGAGGCTTCTGCTCCTCTCAGCACGTATTTTAGTCCACTCCTCTTGATCAAACTGCTATAATTCTTTCAGGTTTCAACAGGCTGCATTTTCCACACAGCCTTTTTCAGCTTCTTCCAAAGATGTTCAGTAGGATTTAGGTCAGAGTTCATAGAATGCCACTTCAGAAGAGTCCAATGTTTTTCTAGTTGTGTGTTTTGGGTAATTATCCTGCTAAAGACACATGAACAAAGCTTTCTGACACCGGGCAGCACATTTCTCTCTAGAAATCCCTTGTTAATTTTTAGATTTCATTGTACCATGCATATATTACAGACACCCTGTTCCAGATAAAGCAAAGCAGCCCACAGCATAACAGAGCCTCCTCCATATTTTATAGTAGAGACAGTGTTCTTTTG